AAACATTGTTGGCAACATACATACAACACAATTGGCCGACCGTTTCTCAACTATTCTGCGCCGATTTGGTCAAAACCACAACACCGCGCTCCGGGCAGCTGTGAAATGAATTCTAATGTCGCCAGAAGCAAAGCAGATGCTATCAATAAGGGAACATAGCATAATCGCGTAGAAAACTGTTCCTGGCCGGCTGCTACTGCCGCGATCACCCGACAAGACACTTGCTAGAAGCATAACCTATTCCTAGGTAGTACAACCATGCGGACAAGCAACGGACGGCACCTCCTTATTGGTGGAATGAAATCATCAAAGACCTCAGAGCGAAATGCCTGCTGTCTAGGCGGCGATCCCAAAGTCGAAGACGCAATCCGGGCTATAAAGGTTGTTACGGAGTATACAAAATCTTTCGTAAAATGCGAAAAAGGTTAAATTTGACGAAACAAAGTAGCAACATTCAAACATCTTTCAGGGGTGCACAAGTAGTCGCGATGTCCAAAATTAGAAAATGATTACAACCCAAATGCCCTGCAAGGAGAAATTATTAAGGCCCTGTTTCCTCACCGCAAAAGAGTAACCCTGTCTCCGCGGTCCGTTAATGTCACTGATGTAGAAGAGGTAACACCTGGAGGAATCTTACCGGCGTCTGGTATGATTGGCAACAACGAAGCTCTCGGTCCGGACGGTATTCCAAACGTGACATTGAAAATGGTCATTCAAGTAGAAGCGCTGCTGATCGCGCGAGTTATGCAAATATGTCTTGAACAAGGCTTCTTCCCCAACAGGTGGGAAGTGCGGAAACGTGGCAATCGCCACCATAATCGACTGGCTAAAAAAGATGGGTTTTTTTAGTCAAGAAGAAAACAGATGCGGTTTTGATAAGCAGCCGCAAGAAGGCAGAAGTAGCTTCTTTCACCGTTGGTGGGCACCTAATACTATCAAAAAGGCAAATACTCTACTTGGGCGTGATACCAGATGATAGTCTAAACTAAATAATAAAGCCTCCAAGATTTACACTGCTCTTAGTAGAATGCTCCCAAATATCGGTAGACCAAGGAGCAGCAGACGGAGTGTACTTTCAAGTGTGATTACCTCCACTCTTATACGCAGCGTATAATATATCCACTTGGCGCTACTATACTTATTAGGCAAACAATGATGATGAAATCAAGATCAAGGCTATTTATAATATTAGCATTTGATTTGACTCATATAATAAAATTTAAATAGGGTAATAAAAAATAAATATATTCTTTGACAGCAACATTGAGTTCAAGATTATTTCCACATTTTTAATTGAATCATATTATGAAGCATAAAATAGATTACTAAAGTATATGTATATTTAAATATGTTCTTTATCAACAGTTCACCTCAATGCTTTTTATATAGTTATGAAATGTGTATAAATAAGCTAATACTGTACATTAGAAATTATT